ATGTAAGAGCATGCTTTTCTCCCCACATCCTTGCCTGCACAATGTGATATTCATTCTACAGATATTAATTGAATTCTTGCTATGGCCCAGGCACTATTTTAGGTAATTAGGAAATATCAATGAATAAAATAAACCAAAATCTCTAGTGGGGTTTGTAATCTACCAGAGGAGAAAAACAATACAATGTATCATAATATATAGTATAAATAAATATAAAATCATATAGTATGTTAGAAGCTGGAATATGTTCTGGGATAATGATCAGAGTATGAGGAATCAGTAATGTGGTTATGTGACCAAGGGGTACAATTTTAAATAGAATGGTTAATAGTAGCCTTCATTGAGGGGATATTTGAGCAAAGACTTGAAGGAAGTGAGGGAGTTAATTATGTAGACCTGGGGAAAGAATATTATCAGCAGAGGAAATAGACATTTCAAAAGCCATAAGGTGGGGCACCTGGCTGGCTCAGTCAGTGGAGCATGTGACTCTCGATTTCAGGGTTGCAAGTTTGAGGTTGTGAGTTTGGCGTAGAGATTACTTAAATAAATAAATCTTTAAAATGAAAATTTTAAAAAGTCATAAGGCACTAGGGTTGCCCAGTGTATTCTAGGAACCAAAAGACCAGGATGACTGGGGTGGGATGAGAAAGGAGAAATAAGCAAATGAAGGCAGAGGGAAATGAATTTTTTGAGAGACCAGATCCAGATTCCCAGTGACTTGTAAGCCCTGACAAAGAGTTTGACTTAACTCTGAAATGGGGAGTCACTTAAGTATTTCCAAACTTTTGGATTTTTGACAACTGAATAGGTTTAAAAAGTGTTTTTCAGTGGTTTAGGTCTGCATTTTTTTCTTCTTAGAAAGGTTGAGCACCTTTTGATGTCTTAAAGCTGTTATTTCCTTTCTTTTTATTTATTTTTTTAATATTTTTTTTACAAATAGTTTATTGTCAAGTTGGTTTCCATATAATACCCAGTGCTCATCCCCAAAAGTGCCCTCCTCCATGCCCATCTCCCTCCCCCCCCCACACACCCATCAGTTCTCAGTTTGTTCTCAGTATTCAAGAGTCTCTCATGGTTTGCCTCTCTCCCACTCCCCCACTATTTCCCTCCTTCTTCTCCCCCATGGTCCTCCATTAAGTTCCTCCTAATCCTCCTATACGTGCAAACATATGGTATTTGCCCTTCTCTGCCTGACTTATTTCGCTCAGCATAACACCCTCAAAGTCCATCCATGTTGCTACACATGGCCAGATTTCATTCTTTCTCATTCTTAAGTATTCAAATCCTTTCCTCATTTTGAATGTTCAGTCTTTTTCATGTTGATTCATAGGAACTTTTATATATTGACAAAATTAGTCTTTGGTCTGTTATATGTTGTTACAAATTCAGTTAACACATAAAATGGTCTAACTACATGGGTTTCACTCTTGTCTATGGCATTTCAAATTTTAGGACCATAGCAATAACAGTGTGAGAGTATATAGAAATTAATTCATGATTCTCTATTCCTGCATCTTATTTTTTTAATCAAATATACAGAGAAAAATAGTTTCTGAAATGAACAAAATGCTTAGAAGTCCTTAGGTGCATTTTAAAAAATGTTTATTTACTTTTTTTTGAGAGAGAAAAAGGGGGTGTGGAGGAGTAGACAGAGAGGGGGAGAGAGAGAGAGAGAGCGGATGAGAGAGAGAGAGAAAGAGAGAGAATCCCAAGCACGCTCCACACTGTGACACTTAGTGGACATAGCCACCCAGGAGCCCCTTAGTTGCATTTTTTTAATTAACAGAGCTAATCAATAAAAGCAGGTAATGGAAAAAATATCTTAAGTATCATAGCATACATACATGACCAGTCTATTTCCTTTATTTTATAGCATACATTTTACTTATTAGGTTAATTTTTGGAATAAGTACACAGTTCAAAGGATACCAAAGATGCACAGTAAAAGGTAAATTTCCTTATTTTTATCTCACCACTATTGAATTTCTCTTTCCTCATGCACTACAGTTCCCAGTTTCTTATATATCCTTCCAGAGACATCTTATACAGATGTGTGGGTTTATATAATCTTCAGTCTGCTTGCTCTAAGTGGACGCATTCCTAACCTCAATTATTCATTGTAAATTCATGCATTTACGAGTTAGCTCACCTGGGTGGCTCAGTAGTAAAGTGTCCGGCTCAGGTCATGATCTCGCAGTTCATGGATTTGAGCCCCACATCGGGCTCTGGGCTGATAGCTCGGAGCCTGGACCCTGCTTCAGATTCTGTGTCTCCCTCTCTCTCTGCCCCTCTCTCACTTGTGTTCTGTCTCTCTCTCAAAAATAAACATTAAAAAAAAAGAATTAGCTATACTGATGGGGATGACATGTTTTAAGATTTGGAAGTAAAGATTAGGATCAGTTGTTTCTGGTACAGTAGGAAAACAGTAAAGGAAATAGTAAGTTATAATTGTTATTTGTATGGAAGTTTCACATAATTTTTTCCCTTGCATTAGTTGTATAATTTAGACATTATTGTTATTGCCGTTTTACAGATGAGGAAACAGGCTCAGAGAGGTTAAAGAATTTGCCAGAGAGCACAGAATCAGTAAGTAGCAGAACTAGGACTTAAACTCAAGTCTCTTGATTCTAATTCTCTGCACTTTCTTTGGTAGCTCCATAGGGAACAGCCTTAGCTATTTCAAAGAAGGAAAACATCAGTTTCTCTAAACTGAATGAGGAAATTGAAATGAGGCAAAAAGCAATGGTGTAATCTCACCAAGGCTATTTGTTATTGCTATCTTTGAATGTTACATATATCCCTCTCATATGGTTTGACTTTTCCATCAGGATCCTTTGCTTTGGGCTAATATGTGGGGTGGTTTTTACTTAATAATGTTCAGTTTTCCAGCTTCCCTGGGATTAAGGGTGAGCAAAATTATTCTAGGTATGCATGGGTTCAGGAAACAAAAATGATCCTAAGTTTTGGTCCTGGGTAGAATTAACTCTGTGTCAGTAAAATCTCTTAAAGGAAAACTTAAAATGCTATCCTGACATACCTTCTTGTGACCAAATTGAGTGCCCCAGACATAGATTTTGATGGATAAAGATCTTAGAATTGCATTTTTAAGTTAAATTGGACTTTTTAGTTTGTTTCCTTATCCAAAGACTAAAGTAAGAGGAGTAAAAATCACTTAATTGTCCTTGTGAGTAGGACTGGCACTACTTTCCTGGTAGGGACCCAGCTCAAGGACCATCCCTTTAGTTTTCCTTTTGAGGAACAAGAACAGTAAGAATGAGGAGGCCAGGTCATGCCCCTCCCCTACAACTCTCAACTGCTTTTTTTTTTTTTTTTTTTTGACAGTTAAAAGGTTAGGTGAGTAGTTTTTCATTAGAGGAGCATGTATGTGCACAACAAGTACCTGCTTAGGGCACAGCAAAGCTGGGGGACAAAAAAAAATTTTTGAAAGAATTTCAAAATGAAATAGCCGTGTTGAAAAAAACAATCAGGGGCGCCTGGGTGGCTTAGTCGGTTAAGCGTCCGACTTTCGCTTAGGTTATGATCTCGCGGTTCGTGGGTTTGAGCCCCGCGTCGGGCTCTGTGCTGACTGCCAGCTCAGAGCCTGGAGCCTGTTTCAGTCTGTGACTCCCTCTCTCTCTGACCCTCCCCTGCTCACGCTCTCTCTCTCTCTCTCTCTCTCCCCTAGAAATAAAACATTAAAAAAAAAAATTTAAAAAAAACAACAATCAGAACTCTGTTGCACTTTCTTTTTGTTGTTTTTTTTGTTGTTGTTGTACTTATTTTGTTTAGAATTGTATTTTAAATTACATCTGGAGGAGGCACACTATAATAATCTTTTTAGTTTTAGAGCCTCTAAAGACCTTAAGAGGTTCTAGACGCATGCTCTGGGAAACTGTGAAATATTAAACCACAACAAGGAAGCTAATCATAGGTCCTATCACACAGTGGAATCAAAGCAGAAACAACTTTCACAATGTCTCTGCCTTCACTTCATTTTCTATTCGAAATTCAGTTTAGTTTAAATGGGCATACCACTGGCTAATAAGAAAAAATAAAAACCAACATGAACCCTGATAAAAAGCAGGGAGAGCATATTCATGAAAGAAAATAAAGCAGCATATAGTTGAGGCTGGATCTGACAGCCGTGTCCTCAGTGCTCAATGCTGAGCCGTCTAAATTTGATTCAGTTGTAATCAAATTACAAATTCAGAACCCCTGAAGAGTTCTGAGAAGGAAAGTGACATCGCGTAAATGTTGCTTGAGAAAAACTAGTAACTAAATATAAGATGGATTGGAAGAGAAAACATAAAATGTTGAGACAACTAGAAACCTGATGGAGGAGGAATCCACAAGCTTTAATGACGAGGTGTAGGTCATGAAGGAGCTGAGGAGTCGATGACTAAGAGGAAAGCATGGGCAGGTTTGGGGTGGGGAGTGTTTGGTGACTACGGCAGTACTATTTATTGAAAACCAATGACATTGTTTGGTTACAGTCCAAAAGAGGAGGAAAAAAAGAGTACTGCTTAAATAATGCTTTATTTCATAAGGGAATGAAGGGAACATAAGAGGTTTTTTCTTTCATCTCGGCCTCACTGCCAACGCATGTACTTCCTAATAACTCGGCTTAGGACATTAGAAAGAATTACAACATGTCAAAAGAAACTCATAAAAGTAAGTCATTGATGGGCTGCCTGGGCGGCTCAGTTGGTTTAAGCGTCCAACTTTCGCTCAGGTCATGAATCTCGCGGTTCGTGGGTTCGGGCTCCACATTGGGCTCTGCTGACAACCCAGGGCCTGGAGCTTCCTTTGGAATCTGTGACTCCCTCTCTGCCCCTGCCCCGCTCATGCTCTGTCTCTCTTTGTCTCTTAAAACAGAAATAAACGTTAAAAAAAAAAAGGTAACTCATTGATTTAATGTAAAAGGTGACAGATCAAGTAAATCAAAATATAGGAGATAAAATTGGAAGGCTTTACATAGACAGGATATGACTTACTGAAATTCCAAAGGTAGAGCCTAGATCCAGTAGTGGAAAGAAGGAAAAATGTATGTTTCTCAGTTTTTGTTTGCCAAATGACATTTGAGAGGTGCTTCTTTTGTTTCTTGGATCATTTTTAAGCCAACAATGCCCCTCAGTTCAAGTCTGGACGTTCTGAAAGAGCAAAGGAAGAATCAGTATCTTGGGCAAAGCAGGCATTCAGTAAACATTGTGGAATGAAGAAATGAAGGAATTTCAGGACTCCGTATGTATGAAGTGGGAAAAGAATCCGGAGAATCAAATCCAGTAGCAAAGACGAAATGGGCTAGAGTCCATATGCTGCAACTCACTGAAAGCCAAACTACTAGAGAAATGTCAAATGGGGCAGTGAGTCTCTGATTTGCTTTGGTTTATAATTCCTGAAGCTCTTTCCTTTTAACTTGGTTTTTTTTCAAGGTCAGAATTACCCTCTGCAGTTCAGATCTGGATAAAAAATAGATTGATTAGTTATGGCAAAGGCAAAAAACTCGACACTTCTCAGCTCTTGTGATCCTATCCAGGACCAGCTATGAAAGCCAGGATCTCATGAGGCAGAGTTAGTTTTATTCTATTTTTCCTCAAAAAATTCTGACCATAATGATTGCATTTGACAGACCAAGTGATGTTTCCCAACAGTTGTTCCAAACAAACCTTAACCTTCTCAACCCCCCCACTGCATGTTGCTCTATTTTGCACTCAGCAGAGCACCTAGCAGTTCTGCTTAATCTAAATGTAAGGGGATAACCTTCCAGACAAGAGCTACCTTGAAAAGAAGCCAGGCTCTGGATTCCTGGCTTGGCCATGTTTTTCAGGGCCTGGCTAAATCAATGATCTCTTTATCTTTAGTCTCTCTCCGCCTGCTCCTGTTGCTGATTTTTCACATACTTGTGTTTCCCTTACTCTAGAAAATTCCCTTCCTTTTGCCTCTCCACTACAAAACTTCTTAAAGCTTTTATTTCCTACTTCCAACTTTCTGACCTTCCTCCTTTAGCCCCTCAGCCATAGTACTCTGGCTTCCACTCCCCATGCTAAAGAAAACTGCTCTGGCAAAGGTCAGATAATTCTCTTCAGTGTTGGGCTCTATGGATACTTCTTTCTTGGCCTCTGAGAGACCACGCCTTTATTTTCATATCTGTTTAGACAGTTCATTCATTCCTCAAATTCTGCCCATCTCTGAAATGTAGGTGTTCCTAAAGGTTCTACCCCGGAGTCACTTCTCATGCCAACACACCCCCTACCTGCTCTCTTAGCATCGGGAATTGCCTGAATATTCCTCAGATCCAGGCTGTCCCCGTTCCTGTAGCTCTCTCCTTAATAAGCATAGGTTAATCAGAAAACAGATGAGCCACTACAAGAGGAACTTCACCCATCTTACCTCCACTAATCCTGACATTTCTTTACTGAGCGACCCATTGGCACTGGAGATAGACCTCCCGTCAACCACCCATACCAGCCCCCTGAGTAAAAACTAATGGGAGGAGAGTATCTGTGCAGATGTTATGTGCCAACATTCCCTCCAGAGAATAATGCAGCTCAAGTCAGCTGCAGTAGTAGCTTCTAGAAGGAAGGAGAGTTGGAAGTGCCACATGGGTAATTCAGTTTGATTTTGAGTTGGAGGGGTAAGAGGAGTTTGAGTTTTTCTCATTTGAGACCTGGCTTGTAGCTGGCTCCCAAATCCCACCCCTCTGCACGTGTTGATGTGAGGAGACTGAGAAATTGGCAGGAGAGGAGAAAGGGGCTACCTTCCAGGTTCCAACAGCTTCCTCTTAAACTTTCTGCAAGCATCCTGAACACAGCTGCTCTGGAATTGATCTCATCCCTCTGCTTGTACCCCCATTCCAGTAACAGCATCACCTTTCATCCTCTTGGCCTAGATGGAAACTTCAGTTACTGGGGACTCTTCCCTCATTAAGCAGTGCCCCATTCAGTTCTGAGGCAATGACCTCTCCTCAGACTGGCTCCTTCCAGTGCTGGACCAGCCCCCTGCGATCTCCATACCTCTGCCCCTGCCCCATCCAATCTGTGCCCCACTGTAGCCAGAGGGACCTTCCCAGAACATATATGGATCACTCATTACCTCCTTTCATTAACACCCTCCACTGATGGGGCGCCTGGTAGCTCAGTCAGCTAAGCGTCCGACTCTTGATCTTGGCTCAGGTCATGATCTCATGGTTTCATGAATTTAAGCCTCCAGTCGAGCCCTGCACTGGCAGCACAGAGGCTGCTTGGGATTCTCTCTCTCCCTCTCCTCCTCTCAAAATAAATAAACATGAAAAACAAAACACTGATAATGTCTAGGCTTTTAGTGGGGCTTATGAGGTCCTTTGTAACCTACTCTGACTTGTCTTCCATTTTCAGCTTTGATGACTCCTTCCCTCACCCAAGCATCAATGGACATTTTGTAATTTTTCAAACACACTATGTTAAGTACTATGAGCCACGCACTCATGAAAACTTTGTAATATGATGGACGTGAAAAAAAAGGCCCCTCCTTTCATTCAATTCCCATTTGAGTAGGAAGGGCCAGTGAATAAACAAGATAATTTCAGATAGCGATATGGTATTATGAAGACAATGAAACGGGGTGTTGGGGAGAGGGTCAGCTACTTTAGATACAGTGCTCAGGAATGGCCTGGGAAGGTAACATTTAGTTGAACTTGAATGAGGAGGAGCCAGACAAGCAAAGATCTGGTGTTGAGTATTTGGGGCTCTTTTGAACAGCATGTGAGAAAGGCCTTGAGGCAATAACTAGCTTGGCAGCTTGATATTTTCAAGGTTCCAAAACAAAGCAGTTAGGCTGCACCTGATTAAATACTTGGGAGGGGGGCAATGAGGTGAGGCCAGATCACAGGGGGCCTGTGGGCCATCGAAAGGACTTTGGATATTATTTTAAGGGCAAAACGAATCTTTTGAAAGATTTTGAGAAGAGTGACATGCTCTGGATCACTCCGGCTCTTCCTGGAGAAGCCGTTTTGGTGGACCAGAAGGTAAGCGTGGAGACCAGTCCCACGCCTTAAGGCTTATGCTCAGGCTATTCCTGAGCTTGGAATGACTGCCTTGACCAGGACGGTTCCCAGGGTCACTGATTACTGCAATTCTCTCAGCCGAAGGTCTAGCGTGGTTTAGCAACCAAGAGAAATAGGGAGATGTTCCGTGATATCCTTGCCTCACCAGCCCTTCTTCAGTCATTCATCAGACCACTCGCTGGGCTGGGCGCTGGAGACACGAATCCCGAGGCCTCCCGCTGTCACGGGACCACTTTTTTCTGTTCCGGCCTCAGTCACCTAATTCAAGGGACAAGTCTCGCTCAGACGAAGTATGGCGGGACAGAGAAAAACGCAGGCCCATGGGTTAGTGGTACAGAGGAGGCTTCTCCCGAAGACGATCGAGGAGGCCACCTCGCAAGAGGTAGCTCAGCCCAAACCAAAGAGCCGCCGATAGTGGGGCAACGCCGCGGGCATCAAGGCAGAATGTGGACTACAATTCCCAGCAGACTCTGCGTGCGGCTGCCGATCCCTCCGCTTCAACTTACTGCGCTGGATGTGCCCATCGCAGCCCGACAAAGACCAAGCCCAGGCTTTTTGTTTTATTTTTTTTCCCCAGGAACTGAGATCAATCTTCTTATCACACATCTCCAGAGAGAGGCTGCTGGGTGCCCTGGAGGAGAAACGGACTTTTTTGAGGTGGAAACGCGGATGCAGACTATCGGAGAGACGTCGTTCTAAAACCACCGACTTTCGCGCGCTTTGGCGCAGGGGGTTGTGGGTAGCGCGCCCAGAAACGAGAAAGAGTCGGGGGGCTGTGGCCGCGCCGCCCGCAGGGCCTGAAGGGATGTTCGAGGACGAGCCCCACGCTGAGGGGGCGGCGGTGGTTGCTGCCGCCGGGGAGGCGCTGCAGGCTCTGTGCCAGGAGCTGAACCTGGACGAGGGGAGCGCGGCCGAAGCCCTGGACGATTTCACCGCCATCCGGGGCAACTACAGCCTAGAGGTGAGCGGCGGCAGGTGGGGCGGCCGGACCCGACCCCCGCCAGGCCCCACCCTCGCCCCGCCCCTACCCCCACCCTGTGGGGCGGTGGGAGTTTCCCCGCCGGGAAGGGTCGCTGCCCAGCCTGGCGCCGAGGAGTGCGAAGCTGGAAGGGCGGGTGTAGACCGATCTATCCATTTTCTTTCTGAGGCGGGAAACCGAAGTCCGGAAGAGGAGCGGCTTGTCGAGGTCACACGTCACTCGGGGGTCCCCTAGACCCCAGACCAGCTTCCCTCCGCTCCGCCGAGCGCCGCAGACGTCGTGATAGGGCCCGTAAAACTATTAAAAAGCCAAACGCCATCATGGCAAAAGCTAAAGTAAATTGTGGTGCCGACACCGCTGCCCAGCTCTTTAAATCTGTTATCTCACTTAGTTCTCGCCACGATCCCGGGAACTGGACCTGGCATCGCCGTTCCACGAAAGGGCTTAGGCCCCTGGCCCAAGGGCACACGGTGGGTGGTGGAGCGCGTCTAAGGAGTCGCACCCATTTCACCGCTCCACCCGTCGGCCCCGCCCAGGCGGAGGTGCGAACCGCCACCGGGCAGCGTGTGGGCTCGTCCCAGCCCCAGGCTTCTGGTCGGTACCCTGATGCTTAGCACAGTGCCTGGTTCTGAGTAAAAGCAGTGTGGGCCGTCACTCTTAGGTTTTTCCCAGCCGTTCTCGCATTGAGCCCTCCCCACAGCCCTGTGACTATGGCAGGGCAGTATTCCACCTGCTTTCCAGGTAGTAATACCGAGGCCCAGAGAATGGTCTTGCCCAGGGTCGTTCTGCTAATTATAATAGGAATCCAGACAAGGAGTGTAGTGTAGGGATAGCATTGCCGGGGGATGTATTTCAGCATATTTAAATTCAGAGGTTTTCTTCCATGATCCAAGGAGCCTAGAGAAACACACACACACACACACAGTGCTCCACTGACTCACCACCCACTGATAAAATTAGTTGGTGGGTTCAGAAGCCTATTATAGTTGGATATTTGGAATTGAGTGTGTCTGTATGTGAGGGAAAAATACCTAAGAGGCACTCTTGTATGTCTCTGGGGTAGGACTGTTGGAGGCTGGATAAAGGACAGTGACCTGCATCCATGAGTGGCATGATTGGAAAGCTGAAGGAAGAATAAGAAAGGGAGATTATGAATTATGGCCACTCAGTGAAGACAAGTTTTTAAAAGCCTGAGAGCATTTCTCTGACATCCCAAGTCCTCTTTTGGTCTGTCATTAAATAAGCATGTGCTGTGCCATCTGGTCAAGGCATTAAACTAGGCACCCCTTTCAGATTCCTGAATATGCCAAGTTTCTTCCCACTTGTGTGCTTTCTTCATGCCACACCTTCTGCCTGGAAATTTTTTCCTCACCCCCAACCAACAGGCAAATTGAAGAACTAAATCTCCAGTTAGGGGAAGTTAATCAGGACATCTGAAATGTTTGACCTAGAGAGCACAGATCTGTGAATTAAGATTTGGTGTTTATTCTGTCCAGAGTCTTTTATATTCCTCTTCCTCGTTTGTTTTTTAAATTATTTATTTTGAGAGAGAGCACCAGCAGGGAGGGGCAGAAAGAGAGGGAAAGAGAATCCCAAGCAGGCTCCACAGTCAGCGCAGAGCCAGAATTGGGGCTCCATGCCATGAACCGTGAGATCATGACCTGCAACCAAAACCAAGAGTGGAGGGACACCTGAGTGGCCCAGTCAGTTAAGCATCTGACTTTGGCTTAGGTCTTGATCTCATAGTTCGTGGGTTTGAGGCCAGCATCAGGCTCTGTGCTGACAGCTCAGATTATGTGTCTTCCTCTTTGCCTCTCGCCTTCTCACGTTGTCTCTCAAAAAATAAACATTAAAAAAATTAAACAAGAAGAGTTGGACACTCAACCAACTGAGCCACCCAGGCACCCCTCTTTTTATTTTTCTTTTGTGTGTTTTTGGTGAAAGACTCTTAAGAGTAGGTATTTTCATGTATCTACTGTTTTTTTAAGGCAATCTTAAAAAAATCTTTTTAATGTTTATTTTAGGGAGAGAAAACGCACATAGGAGCAGGGGAGGAGCAGAGAGAGGGAGACAGAGGATCTGAAATTCATGGAATCCATGAACTTCAAGATAATGACCTGAGCCGAGGTCAGATGTTTAACCAGTTGAGACCCCCAGGCGCCCCTCTACTGTTAAGAAGCCTCTCCCCATCTTCCTGCTGGTCAGGATACCTAACAAGTTCCTGATTACATTTCTCCCTTGCCTTTCCCTCTTCCCCTCTTATATTTTGGTGTCTACCTCTGTGAATCCTTCTCTGACCTCCACTCAAAATCATTTATTATCTGATTTTATCTCACACTTTATCTTCAATTCTTACAGCATGTCTCATTATTCTAGATAATGGTTTTCTGTTCCTTTTCTTACCTCTAGATTTTGGATAATTCCATGAGGTCAGAAACTATCATTGTATTTCTAATGTCTAGCATCAAAATAAACAGTAAAGATTTTTTTTTTTTTTAGGAAAAAGAAGCAAAATTCCAGTACTTATTTTCTCTATCTTAACGGTGTTTTAATCTAGTAACCTGTATACAATGGCTTTTTAAAAAAAATTTTTTAACGTTTGTTTATTTTTAAGAGACAGTGTGAGCGGGGAAGGGGCAGAGAGAAAGGGGGAGACAGAATCTGAAGCAGGCTCCAGGCTCTGAGCTGTCATCACAGAGCCCAGCATGGGGCTCATGCCCATGAAGCACAAGTTCATGACCTGAGCTGAAGTTGAATGCTTAACCGATTAAGCCACCCAAGCCCCTCTCCAATGGCTCTTGTAATACTTACTTGGATGCTATTCCCAAACACTTGGTTAATCAAGGCTTCTAAAAATACTCACACTTAAGCTTACATGCCTCATTTAATACACTGAACAAATAAGATTTCTCACTACTTTAAGGCAGTTAACACTGGGCTTTAACTCTATCGGTGGCCACACATTTCTGCCTACCCCTTTTGGATTATTGCAAGAAATCTTTCAATGTTTTTATCCTTCTAGAATGTGGTCTTAAAGAGGATCTGTAATATGTTGTGTGTCTAATTCTTAATCCTTAAAATTCATATATAATTCAGTAGTAAAGTTATAAAGTGATTCTAAGACAATAAAC